AATCTATTTTTTACATCTTAAGACGACGGTGCAGCATGACTGATAGCCCTTGGCATTTTCTGGGTGCTTGGCAGCAAATACTGGGCGCTTGGCAGTTAGCCTTCAGGTCTATTGCACGATCTGATACCCAGTATGACAACGATGGATACCAGTCGTAATATACTATCTACTGCCCAAAAGGCAAGGGGTTGCTGCTGTGTAGCAATGTTGCCCCATCCTGCGCATAATACGTCTGATAACCATCATCATCAAGGCAAGGGGGCTGGTGCAATGCAGCCCCACGGCTGCCAGCCCCATGTCTGCCAGCACCCAGATAGCCCTCGGCCTCTTCTGGGTGCTTAGCAGACAATATTGGGCACTTGGCAGAAAATAGCATACTACGACTGATAACCATCATTGTCTGCCCGGGTGCCCATGATCGACAGCCACTGCAGTACGATGACGACGGTTACCAGTCGTAATATACCATCTTCTACCAAAAGGCAAGGGGCTGGTGCAATGCAGCCCTACGGCTGCCAGCCCCACGGCTGCCTGCACCCAGATCGCCAATGAAGGCTACCAGTCATGCTGCACCGTCTACCGCCAAAAGGCAGTAAGCTGCTGCTGCTGTTTAGCAATGCAGTCCCACGTTTGCCGGCACCCGGAAGAGATATGGTGACGGTGAGCTGAGCTGAGCGGGCTCAATGCTTGGCGTGGTATGTTGTCTGCACAGGTAACCCAGGTAAAAAGGCGCGAATCTATTGTCTGCCGTTGCTGTGACGGCGGGGGAGGGGCCTGACGCAATGTACCCAGAACCCCTCGCGGCACTGCTTTGCATCATCCGGGCATTGCGATCTCAACCCATAATTCCAATGGGCGCCGGAGGCTCCGGGAACTGTGGGATAGGTACCATAGTGCAATGCGCCGGAAGTCGACGCTAGCCTCGGTACTGTGGACGCGGTCCGCCGACTTCATGCACTTAGAGCATTTTAGGTGGGGACACACACAATCGGCTGCATACAACCGGTTTCTATAAAACCGGCTTCTATAAATCCGACCTAATTCTGTAGTGTAGACATAGCCTCATATCCTCTCTTTATTCATCTCTTTTCTAAGCTGAAAATTCCCAATCTTTGTAATCTCTTCTCTTATGGAAGCTGTTCCATACCGCTAATCATTTTTGTTGCCCATATCTTTTCCATTTCTAATTTCATCTTTTATAAGATGGGGCAACCAGAACTGCACACAGTATTCAAGGTGTGGGCATACCATGGATTAATATAGGGCATTATGATATTTCTGTTTTATTGTCTATTCTTTTCCCAGTGGTTCTTAACATCACTAGCTTTTCTGACTGCCGCTGCACCTTGAGTGGATGGTTTCAGAGAATTATCCATGATGATTCCAAGATTTCTTTCTTGAGGGGTAACAGCTAATTTAGACCCCATCATTTTGTATGTGCATTACTTTTCATTTGTCAACATTGAATTTTATCTGCCATTTTGTTGCCCAGTCACCCAGTTTTGTAACATCCGTTCGTAATTCTTTGCAGTCAGCTTTGGACTTAACTTTGAGTAATTTTGCATTATCTGCAAATTTTGCCACCTCACTGTTCACCCCTTTTCCAGATCATTAATGAACATGTTGAGCATCACTGGTCCCAGTTCAGATCCTTGTGGGGATCTTGCCATTTACCGCTCTCCATTGTGAAAACTGACCATTTATTTCTATACATTATTTTCTAGCTTTTAATCAATTACTGATCCATGAGAGGATCTTTCCTCTCTTATTCCATGACTGCTTAGTGTGCTTAAGAGCCTTTGGTGAGGGACCTGGTCAAAGTCTTTGTGAAAGTCCCAAGTCACTGTATTGATTGGATCACCCTTGTCCACATGTTTGTTGACACTCTCAAAGAATTGTAATAGATTGGTGAGATGTTATTTCCCTTTACGAAAGCTGTGTTGACTCCTCCACAAGATATTGTTTTTATGTGTCTGATAATTCTATTTTTTACTATACTAGTTTCAACCAATTTGATTGATACTGAAGTGAAGCTTATCGGCCTCTAAAAGCAAGGGAGCCTTTTATAAAATCAGCATTGGAGCCTTTTATAAAATCAGCATTATGTTAGCTATCCTCTAGTCATCTGGTACAGAGGCTGATTTAAGTGATAGATTACATACCATAGTTAGTAATTCTGAAATTTCATATTTGAGTCCCTTCAAAAATTCTTGGGTGAATACCACCTTGTCCTGGTGATTTATTACTGCTTAATTTATCAGTTTGTTCCAAAACCTCCTCTACTGACACCTCAGTCAGGGACAGTTCCTCAGATTTGTCACCTAAAAAGAGTGGCTCAGATGTGGGGATCTCCCCCACATTCTCTGCAGTGAAGACGGATGCAAAGAATTTATTTAGCTTCTCCATGACAGCCTTGTCTTCCTTGAGTGCTCTTTTAGCAACTCACTCGCTTAGTGGCACAACTGATTATTTGGCAGGATTCCTGCTTCTGATGTACTTAAAACATTTTTTGCTGTTGTTTTTCTGTCTTTAGCTAGTTGCGCCTCAAAGTCTGTCTTGCCCTGCCTAATTATGCTTTTACACTTGACTTGCCAGAGTTTGTGCTCCTTTCTATTTTCCTCACTAAGATTTGATTTCCAATTTTTTAAGGATGCCTTTTCACCTCTAACCACCTCTTTTACTCTGCTGTTTACATTGGGGAATTTTTTTGGCTCATACTTTTTTTTTTTTTTTTTTTTTTTTGGCATATACATTTTGTTTGAGCCTAAACTAGTCTCATTGTTGACCTGGTGGGATCACCTCTAAGCGAGACAGGATAGTTCAGTCTCCAGGTCAGTTAAAGAGTTGGTGTTATCAATTATTCATATTTACTTGTATGGCACCGAGATGTGTGTGTTCCTTTACACGAAAGGAGATGGGTTCCTGCCTCAAAAAGATTATAATATCAGGTTCTGGCAGCTTTACTCATGCTAAGTAGTACCTTATTTTGTAAATTATCCTATCAAAATCAGTTAAACTAATTGCAGATTATGGTACAGTACTTCTGAATGGGAGGGGTGGGGGGGAGAATCACGCTGTGCAGAGGGTTAGCATAGCACTGCTTTAGTCCCATTAAACCCTATTTTGAAGATTTAGAGTAAGGATGGAAAACGTATCTCTAACTAGTAAATGAATAGATAAAAATGGGGATGAAACAAATCTTGATGTGCTTATCTGTAGCATTGTCAGGGCAAGAAAGCTATTTCTAACAGAACTGTGTTTAGTCATAATTTCCCCAGAAAGGTGCTAATGTGGATTCCAGACACACAGTAGAACCAACCAAACTAAGATACTTCAGGAGATTACATAGATAAAATGGTAGAATTGCATGGCAGAAATTGTCATCTTGGAAAGCATTATCTGTGAAGTCAAAGATAAACTAAAAGATAGTAAAATATATGCATCTTGGGAAGCCCCACAGAAACAACACAATAGGCCCTGGGGAAACAATGATTGTCGTTTGAGCTGTCACAGGCAGACAAAAGGAATCTGTATGACCAAGATGGAGGTCAAGCACAGAGAATCTGTGGTTTACTCACAAACATTCTACAATGAGAGAAAGTCCTGCCCCTTAGACCAGTGGTTCTCAAACTTTTTTTTTTGTGGACCACTTGAAAATTGCTGACAGTCTCGGCGGACCACTAAATAATCCTTCCAAATGTTGTTTGTACCGTTAGCTAACTATTGTAAAGCGCTTTGGATAAAAGAGCTATATAAAAAAACCCTTAATAATAATAAACTTTTTTTGTTCTACAAATAAAAGCACACAACTCATATTTTAATATCAGTAGTCTTATCTTTCTAATGCAGTGGATGTGCCCTCTCTCCCCCGCCTCAGCAGCCCCCGAGCTGGGGCTGGTAAGGAGGGGGTCTCTCTCTCTCTCTCTCCCCTGCCGCGGCAGCCCCCGAGCTGAGGCTGAAAAGGAGGGCCATCTCTCCCTGGCAGCCCTGGAGCTGGAGAAAGTCGCCTCTTTCTCTGGCCACTGCAGCCCTGCATGTCCCAAATTCCTCCCACCCCTTCTTCTCACCCCACTGCCCCCTCCCACCTACCCCTAGTCCCCCCCAAGGCCACCACCTCACCTTATATGTGCGCGGCTCCACTAATTAGGAAGGTGGCCCTTCATTCTTTCGTGTGTGGCCTCCCAGGCACACACCGTAGAGGGAACTATCCGTGGGCCACCTGAATGGAGCTCGTGTACCACTGGTGGTCCCCGGACCACAGTTTGAGAACCTCTGCCATAGACTAAACCACAAAAATGAAAGTCTTCCTTAACCGGAGTTCAAATTTAAAGTAAAAAGGAAATTACCCTCTTTAGCTGTAGTCCCCACAGAGTGAAAGGAATTATTTTGAGGTAGTTTTGTGAACTATGTTATAAAGGAGGTCAGACTAGATGATCACAGTGATCCCTTCTGTCCTTGGAACCTATGAATATGCAGGAAACACCCTTTACCTTATATTCTCTGGTTATGCTGCTGTGTTATGTGTGTATGTGTATATATATATATATATATATATATATATATTCTCATTTGAGAAAAGGGGCTTATCTGTTGGGGGTTGTATGTGTTCTTCCCTGGTGATTCTGCTGACCCATTGCAATTCTGGGGAGGTAAGCCATGACCTGTAACTTATACAGAATCATAGAAATGAAGGGCTGGAAGGGACTTCAAGAGGTCATCTAGACCATCCTCCTATGCTGAGGCAGAACCAAGTATACTTAGACCATCCCTTACAGGTGATTGTCTAACCTGTTCTTAAAAATACACATCTAGTTCTTGCCTCTGCCGTCTCCCTTTTTTCATTTGATGGAACAAAGAGTGGAGACGTTCACATTTTGTTAGTCTAACCAATGCTGGTTCTATAGTGCTAGAAATGTGTGGGGATCTGATCTTCGATTTGATTTTTGACTGCTACGACAAAAACAACACGCTCACAGAAATAATCTTATTTCCTTTTGCAGCAGAGATGGAAGAAGAGTTTGTTAGCATGCTTACTGAGCTGCTGTTTGAATTGCATGTTGCTGCCACTCCTGACAAACTTAATAAGGTTGGTGCAAGTTACAGAACCTGCCTCCACTCCCTACTATAAAGAAGAACTAGTGGGCGCTGCTCTGAAATTCAGTGTAGAGTAGTACACCTCTACCCCGATATAACGCTGTCCTCGGGAGCCAAAAAATCTTACCACGTTATAGGTGAAACCGCATTATATCGAACTTGCTTTGATCCGCTGGAGCGCTGCTTTACCGCATTATATCCGAATTCGTGTTATATCGGGTCACGTTACATTGGGGTAGAGGTGTATCTAGGGTGGCAGATCAGAGCGCAAATGATGGATGGCACAGAGATGTTAAATAGAGAGAGCTGTGGTAGAAGAGATTAGGTGAGTCAGACCAGAACCAGGGGGCCAGGCTAGCTAGCTACTCTCTTACTGACAACCCAGAATGCTAGGCCACACAAAGAAATCTCAAAGTGGGGAAAGCTTTAGTAGATAGAATAGGGATCTTTACATGAGGGTTTGGTTTAGACTATTATGGCCCGTCTACACAGACCGCAGCAAGTCTACAGATTTGGGGGAGCGGGGCTCGTGCTAGCACTGTCAAAATAGCTGTGTAGAGAGCGCTTTGAAGTTGCAGCTTGGACTCTGAAGCCCATTCCCCTCCGAAGGCTTCAGTGCCTGAACTCCAGCCTAGTATGCAACTTCAGAGCACTGGCTACCCCACTATTTTGAGAACACTAGCACGAGTACCAGTAGCCTGAGTCCATCGACCGAGGCTGGAAGGCTCACTCCCATGGCCTGGGTAGACGTATCCTTAGGTATGTCTACGCCAAAGTTAAAAACTCAGGCCTGGCCCATGCCAGCTAACATGGGCTTGGGCTAAGGTGCTGTTTAATTGCAGTGTAGACATTCAGGCTCAGGCTGCACCCCAAGCTCTGAGACCCTCCCACTTCACAGGATCCTAGAACCCAGGCCCCAGCCAAAACCGAAACATTGCAATTAAACAGCACCTTAGCCCAAGTCAGCTGGCATGGGCCAGCCCTGAGTTTTTAAACTGTGGTGTAGACGTATCCTTACTGGCCAGCGACACAGTTCAGCGTCAGAATTAAATTTAGCATTAGTCATGTTCATTTTTCTGGGGGAGTACTCCAAACATTCTAATCTTGAAACAAAATGTTATCACTTCTAATTAGACTTGCCATTTTAAAAAAAAAAGTGATACATGCCACATTAGTTAGCTGGAAAGACATCACTGATGCTGTTTCTGCTTTGATCCACTTATCGGCTTGGTACTAAGCAGTTCAAAATCCAGTTGCTTTCTTTCTAATTTCATTTCTAAATTTGGACTTGCTTTAGCTTTATTCAAAGAATTTGCTTATTTTTTTTCTTTCTTTATAAAAATTCTGCTTCACTTTTCCACTCAGATCTTAGTTTCCTTTTTCTTTTATTTCTTAGATACATCCTGCATAAAACTGAGGTTTTGGTAACCTTAGTCTTAATGATAGCGCTATATGCAGATTAAGGGCAGTATAATATAGTTCAGTATATGGCCGGGGTGAGCAACGCTTCAGTGGACAGAAAGATTTTCTCCTATGTACATGCCTGATGTAAATAAGAATTTTGAGTGGAACAGTAAAACTAGGTAAAGAAAAATGTATTGTTAACTTGTGTTTCAGCAACATTATTTGATCTTCCACTCTTGAATAATAGGACGTTTTTTGTGGGGTTTGTTTGGTAGGCTAGGAAAAAAGCTCATGACTGGCTAGAAGAAACCAACTTCTCCACATCACTAGACTTGGAAGAGAAGCCAGAGGAAAACAAAGAGGATGAACAAAAGACTGAACAAGGAGGAGGAGATGGTGGTGATAAAACAGAAGAAAAGAAAAACAAAACCGTGGAGGTAAAATAGTCCTAGAAGGAGAAATTTCATAAACAAAATCATAATCTCTTTGGCTGGATTCTCTAAACAACCAGCATTTGTGCTTCATCCTTATGGGTGGTACTGTTGTTGTTTTTAATATCTCCAGGGGGCAAAGTTATTTAGCTTTATAAAGGAACTTAAAAGAAATGGTAATCAATAGCTATGAACCTAATTCTGCAAACCGTACTTATATAAGTATTTTTCACTATTAGATTATTCTCATGAGTAAATAATCAACAGGATCAGACCCTCTGCCAATAGTAACTTTTTAAACTTTAAAAAAATTAAAAGCCTCCAATATACCTTTTACCCAAAAGATTAAATTCAGAGAGACGGGAAAATCCTATGGTGTTTTGTCTGTAGCAATGTACCATATTTAAAGTCATGTCTCAACATTTGGTAGTGGCTCTTTCTTCAGATGCCAATAAATGAAAAAAAATATGATCAACTTATATTTAAATTCATGGATAAACAGATTGGCAAAATAGCAATATTATTTACTAGTCAAACCAAAAGTTTACGATTTTTTTTACGAAAGGTCTTCCTTAAGGCTAAATATACCCACTAGTGCTATTGCCTTCTGTGGGTATAGTTAACTGTGGTTGAATTTCTTAATTTAAGTTATGACAGTGTTAAACTGTGTTGTTTTTTAATGATCTCTAATAAAAAAAATCCATTATGTTCCCTTTAAAAAAATTCATACACTTTAAAATGTAAGAAACTGAGTTGTACTGTGTATATTATAGATTATGTTATTGCAGATTTTCAGATACTGCTAAACCACTGAGAGTTGAGATTAGAAAGAGTTTATGTATAGTCACTTTGTTGCTAGCAAAATGAATTTTTTATCAGCAGTATAATTCATTTTCACTATGGAAATGTGCTTTGGGAATGGCGTGATCCTCTCAACTCCCTATGAAATCAGTGTAAATTCCATGAGTGTTAAGGGCTCAATTTCAGCATCTATCAGGACCAAAACCGAAAACTCCACCATAGAAATTCCTAGGGCTCGACCCTGCTCCCATTGAAATGAATGGCAGTTTTGCTTTTTCACTTCTCGGAGATAAGCAAGCATGAGGTCCTTATACTGCCATCCCCTTTTCCTCAAGGATGGGTAACAGCTAATATTCCTTGGCTTTATATGCACTGATATCTCCCAGTTTGTACTCTGCCCCAGTTTACAAAGCCTCTTTTTTAGTCTATAGAAATTATGTTCCTGTTTTTTTGTTTCATTTAAGGAAGTCTACATGCTATCTATTGAAAGCCTTGCTGAGATAACCGCTCGTTGTATCGAACAGCTTCATAAAATAGCAGAGTTAATTCTTCATGGGCAAGAAGTGGAAAAGACAGCCCAGGACCAAGCAAAAGTTATGACAAAGTGAATATAATTTTTTTTATTTCTTATTTTTGTCATCAGTATGAGTTTGCTTAACATTCGCACAGTTTTATTGAGTCCAGAGCTTTTGCAGACACCATAACACACCATGGATCAACAAACAGGACTGACTTTAGAGTTTTGCCACTCTATTTTCAAAAGCAATCAAATCACAGACTGCCTGTGATTTGTTGACATGCATATCAGATATATTTTTACAAAAAACACAACAGATGCACAAGTTGATGACTTTTTGTTGCTATATTAGAGCTGAAATGTGCACACTCATTTTAGGTGCACTTTTTACCAGCACTACCAAAGATAGTATACCAACATGCGCAGAATTTGCTTTTGCACTCCACAATAGGGTCTTATCATTTGTACTCTGCCAAAAGGACACAAAAATCTATTTCTAAGCAATTATGCCATATTCCTCACCAACTCATTGCCAACCCACAGGTGTGGGCACCTAACTTCAAGAATCCCAGGTTCAAAACTGGGACCTAAGGATCCAGTTCAAACCCCTCTGAAGACAGTACAAAAACTCCCACTGACTTTAGTGGTTTTTGGATTAACCCCTAAACACATGACCCCCACAAGGTGGTGAACATTCTGATCCTGATCTAGCAAAGTACTTATGCACATACTTAATTTTAAGCATGTGAATAATCCCATTAAAGTCAGTGGGGGCACTTTTATTTAAAATTCAGTACTTAAATTGTCTGCTGGATTAGAGCCAGAATGTTCTGCTCCTTGCAGGATTGAGCCCCAACTGAGGTACAGTTATACAACAAGTCAGTGACAGAGCTGGGACTAGATCCAGATCTCCTCATTCACAACCCTGTGCTTTAACCACTAGACAATGCTTCTTCTATTAATGCAATCCACTGCTTTGGAGAGAAAAAAAAACTCATTACATTCTTTCTAGCTGGGAGCAGGAGTATTTATTTCCATTGGTATTTTTAGTCATTGGGTTGGTATAACCTTAAGTAAAGCAATAATTAGACTAAAAGTCTAGTATTTTTACAAAAAAAACAAAACCGTGCCATATCAAAAGAGATCAATGTTTGATCTACTCTGGTATCCTGTCTCCAGCTGTAACCAGTGCTGGATTTTTCAAATCCAAAGCATAAAGACTCCATCATGATCAAGATTGTCAGCAGAACTTTGACTTCTGAGATGAAGCAGGAGTATATTTTTAACGTTTGTCTCTTTTCTTTTTTATAACCAGTTTAACAAGTGCCATGTGCAATGAAGTGTTGTCTTTATCTAAGAAGTTTTCTGACTCTTTAACTGCCATTGGGGTAAGATATGAGAGCATTTCCTTTTTATTGTTTGTTTAATTTTATAAACATAACCTCTTTAAGAGAGATTCTCATCCACTGTGAAAACTGGCTTTATGTGCAAGACTAGAAATAGGGCAGGCTGGAGTCCTCTCCAACCCCAGCCAGATCCAGAACACAGAGCACCCTTTCAGCAGATCCACCACTGTTGCTAGATCCTGTGATATGCCCTGCCTTCCTTAGGCTGGTTTTGTAGCAACTGGATCCACAGAGTTCCTGGACCTACTAGGTATCCCTCTGCCATTCCCCCAGACCACTCCCCTTGAGTGGCCCACACACATCCAAGAACTGCAGCAGCCCCTTACCCAGCCCCTTCTTTTATATGCATCTGTATTAAAAAAAACAAAAACACCCACATACAACATTGGGAGCATTATCACGGGCAGTATGTTAATAGAGGGGCTTCACGTCATAAATTATCCCATAGTGACTGATAAATCCCCTGGTGTTTGTAATGAGGAGATTGAAAGGCTAGAGAATCTATTCCTTTTTTTTTTCCTGTTTAAACAAAATCACACTCTCCCTATAGCAAGTTAACCTACTTAGAAAACAAACTTCTATTTAGTGCTCTGGCTGGAAACATTTGCACTTTGTTCCTGAAAAATGTACAGAGGATATTACTAGTGTAACATAGCTTGTGTGACCTGAAATGGGGGAGGAGTGAAGACCTTTATGGGAGTCAGGGGAGCAGAGGTGATAAACTCCACCACAAAATATTTTTGAACTTACCTGACAATCAAGTGATCTGGCACAGTCCAAAGGGAAAAAAGTTGCTCTTTAGAAATAGTTTTGTGAAGCCATGTCTGGTAGGGATTATCCAGGGAGCATGAATTCTTATCAAAGACACGGAAGTTTCCCCAGGCTTGTTGGAATTTTAAGAAGAGGCTCCTGCGAGCTACTTCAGGGCATCACTGGATATCTTTTCAAAGTTATTTAAAAACTAACATAATTTATTGGATTGCTTTTATTTTGAATAATTTACATTGCTTCCAGTTATTTCAGATGAATCTGCCTATTTCTGCATTTTCTAAGCATGTTTTAGCATATAAATGTATGCACGCAGAAAAAATTAGCCATGAAATATTAATCAGACCCAACTCAGGATATTCAGAGCTAAGGATTTCACTGCAACTTTATTTCTGCCCCTTGGTGCATAGGCATTCAGGAGGGTTTTACGTTACAGGAACATAGAGTTCAGGCCCAAATTGTTACTGGCATTTGTGCAGGGTATGAGAAGTTGGGCACAAGGAGCTCTCCGACCCCGAGTATGCTCCACACAGGGGACAGCCTCAAGCCCTGTGCTTGGTGCCTCAGAACCACTACCCCATCCATATGTGCCTTCAGGGGCCACGTTGTGCCAGCGGGGAAAGAGATGATGCTGGCTCCCACCAGCACTAAGGAAAGCAGTAAGCATCATCCAACAGGACTGTACAAGCTGTGTGGATGGGAGCTCAGCAAAAAATGGTGTCACAGGGAGTCCAGTCCCTCCTTGAGCTCCTTACAGAGACAGTGCATCTTTACACTGCTCCCATCGCAGGATGTACAGAATGAAAATTACATGCATCTAACATGATAATTATAATGTGCATAGAGTTAACCACCAACCAAATTTTCCAAATATTTGGCTAACTCACATACCCAGCTGGATTGATTCCGGACAAAAGGTAACTTTCTGGGAATGCCACAGGCCTCTGCAATAGTTGTTTAGAATGGAAGAGCTCTATCATCAGAATAGCAGCAGTGCTATATAATTCAGGCATATAGTCATTATAATGTAATTGTGGCCTTTTTCCTAAAAGTTAGCAATTATTCAGAACTAGGAAGTATCTCCTTTGTTTATCGCTCTAGATTTCTTTCTTCCTGCTTGCACTTACCATTGATTCTTACAATCAATAATGTTTAATTGACACTACTTTCTTTATGTTTAAGAGGTTTGTTGATAATCAACTAAACAAGGGGATATGGAATAGATTTTCTAGTTCCGGACAATAAAGATACTGTTCTGCTATTTCTCTTTCTACCCTCATTCTATCCTCCCCCTCCCCCTTCCCCCACTTTCTTTTGTTCTTCCATCTCCCTCCAAACTGTCTCCACTTCTCTCCTTCCTGTTCTTTTAAAGATACTATTTACCTCTTCATAAACACATTTCTGTACTTAAACTGCTTACAAGGTGTGAGGATATTTGTCCTGTTTCTTTAACTCTGTAACAGAAACCAAGCAGAATGGGGGCCTGCGAAAGTTCAAAGCAGAAGCTCTACAGTGAATTGAAAAAATACTGTTTTATTTGTTCTAATAAAGTTCCTGTTCAGTGTTAGACGAAAGCAATTCTTTTTGCAAGTCTCTGCCATCATTATGTGACAAGGCAAAGTGCAGAGAGAAAAGAGGATCTGACCACATCTACCATTTAAAAAAATGCTCTCCACTGGCCAGTCCTAAATTCTTACAGATGGCCTCAAATTCTGTGGCATTTGACATAGCCAAAGAATCAGATAAAACAATGAGCCCATCTTATACACTGTGATACCGTACAAGGCAAGTACAGAAGTATAGACAGATGAGTGTTAAATGTTATCAAAAGTAGTATGCCATAGTATTAAAATTATCTTGAACTTTTGTATTTCCTTGAAAACCTTATTTTCATCAAATAGAATCAAGCTGAGCCAAAGCCTTCGCAAAATTCATACAGCCGAAATTGATCCATTACTAAGCAAGTATATTACTGTTAAATATCTGTGTTTAGCCCTGGCATTACATCTTGTCAATATTTGTCTTTCTACAGAGCAACAAGAAGGCAGAGCTCCTTAACCCAATGGTCAGTAGTGTGCTATTAGAGGTAAGCTTTCAATTTTTTCACAGTAGGAAAAATTTTGATAAACTCATTTTGAAATGAAGCATACACATTTTTGTCCCTATAAAGAACCATAAAAATGTAATGGTAATGGCATTGTAATTCTGTGCCATCTCATAAACAACTCCATTTTGTGTTCAGAAGTCATCCACAAATGCTGGACCAGAGCAGTAATACTAAATTTTGTCAGGATTCCTAAGAACACTGACAGAAGTGAAATGCTTTTCTTACTATGTGTTGTAATGTATTGACTAAGCTGGGTGAACAATTCACAATGTGCAATTTATTCAGCAAGTTTAGCCTTTTTTCCTGCTCAGATATTGCCTATGAACAGACTAAGGTTATTAATCTATTCATTATTTGTGATTGTGCACATAAAATATTTGTCAAACAAATAATTTCAGCCTATGGTTAGCTTAAACAGTTTACTGTGATTATTCCTTCCAGGATTCAATATTCACAGTTTGAGCTGCAAGGATACTCAAGTATAGTAGTGTTATTCTTCCTTCATTGCTTGAACCTAATCTTCAAACACGACAGTGATCTAAAACAAGTTTTATTTTGTGATTAAATTAATCTTGCCCATGATCCCACACACATACAACCACACTAAATTGCACTTGTATAAATATTCACAAGTGCATAAAAATAAGAGCAATCTTGGTCAAACCAAAAGTCTGTTGAAGTCAAAATGTTCATGAATATTTTTTCTCATTCTTCACCCAGTTCTAGTTTTGACCAGGAAAGGCTCAGTAAGTTTTAGAAAGTCCCTGCTTTCTACTCGGTTTTACACTCAGGTTGACTGAGACAGAAGGAGTTCAAAAGATCGTAATATCAACAGACAGTGATTGGCTCATATAGGATTAAAGTTTAATATATCTGTGGCACCCATTCTTTTGCTCTGCCAACTAGCCACATATTCTCTTTAAAAATAAAAATCTATACAGTACAGAATGCACATTGTTACTATGTAGCTTTAACCTACCACTGGGGACCCATTTACAAAAAAGGAAAAAAGATCTATTATCTGAATAGTCAATAGCAAATAGACCAGTGGTTCTCAAACTTTTGAATTGGTGACCCCATTCACACAGCAAGCCTCTGAGTGTGACCCCCCTTATGAATTAAAAACTTTCTTTTTTATATTTAACACTATTATAAATGCTGGAGTGAAGCATGGTTTGGGGTGGAGGCTAACAGCTCGCAACCCCCCATGTAATAACCTTGTGCCCCCCTGAGGGGTCACAACCCCCAGTTTGAGAACCCCTGAAATAGACTATTTTGTATTAAATAAGCAATGTATTTAAAAGCACTATTGTAAAGATTCCTGGCTTTATAGTAAAGATTCTTTTTTTATTTCCTCTTATTATGGTGTAGAGATTAAAGTTGCTGGTACCTAAGTTGGCACATTTTACTGTACCATAACTCTTGGATAAATTCCTAACAAAGCTTGAGCCATGACATTTGGATCTGAAGTTGAGGCTCACTCCATACCACAAAGTTTGAGGTATCCAGGTCTTGTATACCCATACGAAGATTTGCCATTAGTCAGCCCAGAATTACAGCATACTAAAGAAATGTGAGCAGCTGTTCTACATTGTATTGGAAATTCAGTATATAATATAATAGTGCATTTATGCTGCAATATATGAATAATTTTAAACTCACTGATTTCAGCCATGCTACATCCTCATGCAGCAGGTCTGAAATTAGCTCTGTGGGTGGAAAGTTTTGATGCTTTTTGTTGAGGAAGTTGATTCTGCTCCTGACCACATGGAGGTATATTCCACCTACATTACACACACAACTCTCTCTAGAAGGTGATGCACAGTCAAAGAGGGGACAACATACCTCTGTATATAATGATGCTTGCTTGCTATAAACTTTTTACAAAGAAGAAGAAAAGAGTTATTATCTGAATATGTACTTGAACTTTCCGAAAGCCTTAGGTAAGGTCGTTTAGCTCTTAAGCACACTAAGCAGTCATGGGATAAGAGGGAAGGTCCTTTCATGGATTAGTAATTGATTAAAAGGTAGGAAACAAAGCATGGGAATAAATGGTCAGTTTTCACAATGGAGACAGGTAAATAGCAGGGTCCCCCAAGGATGTGTACTGAGACCTCAGTGGTTCAATATATTCATTAATGATCTGGAAAGGGGAATGAACAGTGTGATGGCAAAATTTGCAGACGATAACTATCTTAATTTTGTAAGTCCAAAGCTGACTGCAAAGAGTTACAAAGGGATCTCACAAAACTATGTGACTTGCCAACAAGATGGCAGATGAAATTCAGTGTTGATAAGTGTAAAGTAATGCACATTGAAAAACAATCCCAAATATAAGTACAAAATGATGGGGTCCAAATGAGCTGTAATCATCGTGGCTAGTTCTCGGAAAACATCCACTCTATGTATAACAGCAGTCAGAAAAGCTAACAATGTTAGGAACCATTAGGAAAATGATAGATGATAAAACAGAAGATATAATCCCACTATATAAATCCATGGTATGCCCACACCTTGAATACTGCATGCAATTCTGGTCACCCCATCTCAAAAGAGTTATAAGAATTGGAAAAGGTATAGAGAATGACAACAGAAAGATTAGGAGTATGGAACATCTTCCATAGAAGGAGAGATTAAAAAGACTGGGACTGTTCATCTGAGAAAAGAGACAAGTAAGGGGGGACTGAAAGAGGTTTATAAAATCATGAATGTTATGAGAAAATGAATAGGAAAGTATTATTTACCCCTTCACATATCACAAGAACTAGGGGTCACTCGATGAAATTAAATAGGCATCAGGTTTAACACAAACACAAGGAAGTACTTCTTCACACAATACACAGTCAAACTGTGGAACTCATTACCAGAGGATGTTGTGAAAACCAAAAATATAACTGGGTTCAAAAAGGAATTTTATAAGTTCACAGAAGATAAGTCCATGAATGGCTACTAGCCAAGATGGTCAAGGATGCAACCCCATGCTCTGGGTGTCCGTAAACCTCCAGCTGCCAGAAGTTGGGACTGGAGGACAGGGGATAGATCACTTGTAATTGCCCTCTTCTGTTCATTCACTCTGAAGCATCTGGCACTCGCCCCTGTCGGAGACAGGATAGTGGGCTAGATGGACCATTGGTCTGACTCCATATGGCTGTTCTTGTTGTAATTTCCAGTGTACTTGGATAGAGCTTTTAAAATCTCACATGAATTTGTATCCTGATGTAGCACCAGCCAGACTGAGTATAAATAGAGTCACTGAGATGCATGAAAAATACGTTACTGAATCACATCTTTTCTCTCATTAGGGCTGCAACAGCACTACCTATATTCAGGATGCTTTCCAGCTATTGCTTCCGGTTCTTCAGATTTCACATATCCAGACCAATTGTTTGAAAGCACAAGAGTGACAGTTTCCCAGCAGTTGTCATCACTGTGTGTAAAAGAAACCACAAACCTAATCTCTTTAATGTATGCAATTTGAAGAGATGGCACAAAAGATGTCTGGCCACAGAGGGGCCTTTTGAGGACACTAAACGCCGTTTTGCACAGGCAGTACTGAAAAATATTTGAGAAAAATCAAATAGAAGTTCTTTAACTAGATGTAGTTACTAGAATAGGTAATTTCTTTTCAAGTTAGTGTATATTCTTCACGTCAATTTAAACTGATGAAGTGTTTATTGAAGTTAGTATTGACTTCAATATGAAGCAGGTAATTAATGTTGACACTTTCAATTCTAAACAGCGATGTCTGAAGGAAATTTGAAAACAATGTTTTTTTAACATTTTGGTCCAGATGCCCCATTTTAATTTTCAGTTTAAAATGTTTACTTTTGAAAGTTAGTTTCTGTATTTAACCTTCATTAACTCTCAAGTTAACTTAAGCAAATGAACTCTGTTTTGAGCATTCCAATATTATTTTTTCAGTGACAGTCTGATAGTAATCCTTAGCACTCATACAGTGCTTTGGTGTTCAAAGAGCTGTACATTAAACAAACTTCAGCTAATGAAAAATATGCATATCAGACATTGTACTGAAGTGAAATTGTCTGAGCCAGTTAGAGCACAGGCAAAACTGTACATGTGCTGACCCATAATTGTATACTTACTGTATTTATGCCAGTCCCCTCACTCTGATTGGCCGAAAGACATTATAGGCCAGAGTAGAGGGATTTGTAGAGTAATCATACTCTACAACTACACAGTAATTCAGCAAATCCCTTCACTTTGGTTGGCAGTTGCCCTTGGAACTCCCAATCTGTGTGCCCATAACAAACGTATTGCCTCATCTTCTCATCCTTCTCCTCAATCTATCATTTCACCTAAATCTGGTTTTTAAATACAGTTTGTTTGTTTTTAATAAAAGGGATTACTGCTAGGGAGGGATTGGAACTAAGTTTTCCTATAAGGGTCAAAGAGGAGGAGAAGGAGATATGAGAAGATTGAGTTGGGTGAGACAAGATAGGGAGGTCACAAATTGAAGCATGTTGTGGGAACATGGAAGAGGAATTCTGTGCACAGAGCCAACCTGAGAGGGTGGAAAGCACATTTCAGTATAACAGTAATTTAAGGGTTCTTGTGTTAAACTTGGTGATATGCATATCTTGGGCTTAATAAATTCACAGTCTTCAGCCTCAGAGTTTATTTTGGCCAGGTTAAAATTATTACTTCATAACAGTAGAAACCTTTAGTTATTTAAGTATCCAGTTCTCCTGAATTGTCCATGTTTATTACATTTTTCTAAACTACACTGTAATTTTTCATATTGATATAGTGATTAGCTCTATTTAAATATTATAAAATTGTAGCTAACATCTGAATGTATTTAACCGTTGAAGCAATGTGTTCACACATCATAAACATAATCAGAATAGAATACTAGGAAATGTTATAATTGTATTTGTTAGAAATGAGAAGCCATTTATCTGCCTAGGCATGGTAACAGTAGGGAGCCTAAATAAGAGATGACAGAAAGCAGGTCTGTGTCTCTGCCTTACATAATGAGGTCCATATTCTGCTGTCACCTGTGTAGTGACTATGTTTAATATTTCATTATTTAGATGGGAGATATTCATTATGTACTTCTGTGGTTTGTTATGCACAATTTCTGTTCTGCCTGTGCAGATGAACTTGGCAAGCTAAACCTGACATTCATTATTACTTGCACCATCTTGAAATAATAGCCCAATATGAAACAAAGAGGGGCACTTGGGAAAATATAGAAAAGATACTGTAAACTGGTAGGCAAACTTACTGGCTGGGAAGGTAGAATAAAGCTCTCAATAGTCCCAAAACAAAAGCAAATAAATTTGAAATATTAGGTATTAACCCTTTTTTCCCCAGCATCAACCAGTTGGGACGGGAGAGGACACCCTTCCCCTTTGATAGCCCCACCTAGCTACTACAGAGAGATCCACACTAACTTCCTAGAACCTGGGTCTCTCCTTTTTGTTCCCCTGCCCCAGAGAGAAGAAGCTTTGTACTTTGTTTTCATATACCAGGTCACATGTTTTCTCCTAGTCATGTGCCCTGCACCTGCAGCTCCCAGTTTTAAAGGGCACAAATCCACAACGGGTGCACTAGGATGTGTGCATGCCTACAAGGCCTAGTGCCCTACTATGGATACCTCGTTATTTAAAGCAATATTTTTGTTTAATCACAGTGTTGTCAAACTAGTATATCGTGCATGATTAAAATCCTGTTTTCATTTTAAAGGGAGAGTGTCATAAAAAGTAAAGTGCCTTTATTTATCAGTTATTACGTTTTAGATGTTATTGACTTTAAATTAGTCTGACCATTAATTATAGTTGAGAAAAGCCTTTCAGTTCAAACCAGACTTATCAGAATTGTGCATTAGGTATGGGTAAGTGTGATGTTGCTGCCAAATGAATCATTTCTAAGGAATAGTTATGGCAGTTTCATATTACCCCTATGCAGAAGTTAATCCTTTTGGATTTAAAATTGGGCAAGTGTCTCAGGTTTCCTCTGGCATTCAGAGCAAGATACATATAATTGAACCTGACAAGGAAACACTGAAGGGGACAGCGAAAATTGGTTGTCTAATAAAAATGTTCTTTTAACTAAAGATTGAACAGAATTGTATGGGAAACCCTAGGGGATACTGTAAGGAGCTGTTGAGGGAAATTATTTGAGACGGGATTTCTTATTTAAGGTGGTCTTCAGAACAGGTTTCACTGTAGTACTTAAATTATGCATGTAGTGTATCAGTGCTTTGACCTTAAGTGAAAAGAATTTTTTTTAAAAGAAAACAATATATATAATTCCTCGTAAAATCTGCACAAAGAAAATCTCAAACTACTAAACCCTAAGTATTTAATTAAAAAAAAATCTTGTTTATGAAAGTCACTTATACTCATGGACAAACCAGTTTTTCATATTGTAGAACATGATATTTAGTTGTTGAGTAATGATTCACTTTTATGAACACTTTTACTATCCAGAGATGAAGGCTTCAGAATAAACTAGGCTTTTACACGCATTGGATTGAAAAAGTGTGTTGAGCTGGAATGTCTGCACATTTGCAAACCTGAAAATAATCCCAACTATTTCAGGTGACTGCATCTAGCTCAACTTTAGTTTGGTTTCAAACTATTTTACAGGGCATTTTTTGTATGTCTGTATCAAAAGTATTTGCATTTTTTTTCCAAAATGGAAAAAAGAAAGGTATAATTTATTTATTACTGCTATTTGCTGTTCAATTATAAATGGCTTTTCTCAGTGACTGACTCCTACACTACAGCATCCACTGCCTAACACCACTGAACAAAGGAACTGCCACTTCCACTTTTTTGAAGTCCCTTAGATTATCAACTGATTATCTTTTTCTAAATTGTAAAACATACCTCTTTCTTTTTTACTTGTAATAAATGATTGCAGCCAGCAGCATTTCAGATGTTTTATTAATGATGCCAGTGTCATCAGCAGGTTAGGCTTCATAACAACTTCAATGAGTCTGAAAGGTAGACGAGTCCTGTTTGACACATTAGAGAACTTTTACCTTGTCTGACTCACAGAAGCACTTTGTATCACATGAACAGTCACCCACTAGTAGTAGTATTTATTCGACATTCTATTTTTAATTCAAAATGACAGCCCTGTCTCTTCTATTGGTCTCAAAGGAATGGAAAGACTGGGTAAGGACTTTTCTGAGATCTTTTTAAAGCCATCTCAGAGCAAGGCTTAAAGTGACACTGTCAACTAATCTGACCTACTTGGAAATTGTTGCAATCTGACTGAAATGCCCTCTGGACTTTAAACAAGTATAATTCGTTTACTGAAAAATCAAATTCTGCTACTGAGAATATGAGGACTAAAATAACCACTCTTATCATAGGACCTATGCATTCCATTATTTTGATACCTGACTCAGCATATCAACAATATTGCTGTTGTTGTTGTTGATGATTGTGCATAAATGTGGAATCAAAATGAAAACAGTCATAATTTCAGCTGTATTCACAAGCCAGGCAGGGAGAAAAAAAGGACATGATCTGTGGCAAAAGGGAAATTTTTTTTTTTTTTTTTAGGATCTGATAACAGTACCAGAAGAGACTTTTTTTTAAAGTGCTGAGCATTGCTCAAAATATTGAAGAGATGACATCTAATTAGTTCCAGCAGGATCTGAGTCACAGCCTTTCTGAAGTAAAACAAAAATTAAGCATGAGCATGCAGAAGATGAGGCAAAGATTAGAACATTCAAAGAAATAAAACACAAAGGAATGAGGGCAGTTACTTTGAAAGAACTGATCAAACTTGATCTGCAATGCTCACTTCCCACTATCATTTACCTCCAACCCTTCTCTCCAAAATGCAGACCTGCTAAAAAATCAGCAATAGAGGAGTTTCCCCACTTTGTGTCCCATTACCATCTTTGGAGAAGATTCTGTAATGGAGTTGAGCTCTATTCATTCCAGTTCCTAATTGTTTCCCCCCTACTCCCCCAGAACTTAATGAGACTATTACCTATATACAGGGCCGGCTCCAGCATTTCTGCCGCCCCAAGCAAAAAAAAAAAAAAAGCCACGATCACGATCGGCGGCGGCAATTGGAAAAAAAGAAGAAAAAAAAAGCCGCGATCGGCGGCGGCAGTTCAGCGGCAGGTCCTTCGCTCCTAGAGGGAGTGAGGGACCTGCCGCCCCCGAATTGCCGCAGGTGCCGCCCCTCTCCCTTGGCCGCCCCAAGCACCTGCTTGTTAAGCTGGTGCCTGGAGCCGGCCCTGCCTATATAACATCATAGTAAAGTGCATAAACTGTAGAAAACAAAACAAACCCCATAGCAAGGGCTAATTGTAACTCTATGAATGAAAGCTGCTGCTGTTGAAAAGGGAAAGCATGAGGACACTACGCCCAAGTAAATGACCAGTCTTTCTCTTGTGCATGACAGGGTGGAGGTGCATTTGGCTGCAAAGTATTCATAGATTCCAAAGCCAGAAGGGACCACTCTGATCATCTAGCCTGACCTCATGTATAACACAGGCCATAGAACTTCCCCAAAATAATTCCTAAAGCAGATCTTCTGGAAAAACATCCATCCTTGATTTTAAAATTGCCTGTGATAGAGAATCCACCACAACCCTTGGTAAATTGTTCAAATGGTTAATTACCCTCACTGTTAAAAATGTACACCTTATTTCCAATCTGAATGTGTCTAGCTTTGACTTCCAGCCATTGAAGTGTTCTATACTTTTCTCTGCTAGACAGAAGAGCCCATTATCCAATATTTGTTTCCCATGTAGGTACTTGCAGACTAATCAAGTTACCCCTTCACTGTCTCTTTGTTAAGGTAAATAGATTGAGCTCCTTGAGTCTATCACTAAAAAACTGGTTTTCTAATCCTTTAACCAGTCTCATGGCTCTTCTCTAAACGCTCTCCAATTTATCAGCATCCTCTTTGAATTGTTGACACCAGAACTGGACACACTATTCCAGCCGCAGCCATACCAATACCAAATACAGAGGTAAAATGACCACTCTACTATTACCTGAGAATCCCCTGTTTATGCATACCGTGATCACATAAGCCCTTTCAGTCACAGAGTCACACTGGAAGCTCATGTTCAGCTGATTATCCACCATGACCCCAAAATCTTTTTCAGAGTCTCTGCTTGTCAAGATACAGTCCCCCATCATGTATGTATGGTCTACATCAGGGGTCCCCAATGCGGTGCCCGCGGGCACCATGACACCCACTGGGGCGTCTAAGTGCGTCCGCATACTGGCCGGCGGACGAGCATCCGCCGAAATGCCGCCGAGAAGCAGCGTCATCCAGAGGCGGCAACGCTGAATTGACGTTGCCGCTTGTCAGCGGCATTTCAGCAGATGCTCATCCACCGCCATGGTCCTCCGTGGCTCGTCGTGTGGCGCCCGCCAGACGAAAAAGGTTGGGGACCACTGGTCTACATTCTTTGTTCCTACATATACAGCTTTACATTTATCCATATTAAAACCAGATATTGTTTGCTTGTGCCCAGTTTACCAAGCGATCCAGATGGCTCTATATCAATGTATCAATCTTTGTTATTTGCCACTCCTCCAATTTGTGTGTCATCTGCAAACTTTATCGGTTATGATTTTATGTTTTCTGCAAGGTCATTGATAAAATTGTTAATGGCAGGGCCAAAAAACAATCCCTAGGGGACCCCACTAGAAACAAACCTGCTCAGTGATAATATATTTGTAAACAGGGAATTACGAGACCTATCAGCTAGCCAGATTTTGATCAATTTATTGTGTGCCCATGATGTGGTGCACTCACCTCTGTCAGCACCTCCTATCAGCTGGGTATGATCCTGCCCTCTCTCCTGGTGTCCCCTGTAGTTTGTTACCCTCATCAGGCAGGTTTTCAGTGACTAAGCTATCCAGCTAAGTCACACATCATCTAAATGGATGAACCTGTTCCAGGATAACAAAGGTCCAACAAAGAACTATAGCTGTGCCCTTGTTGGTATCTGCAGCCCTGTCTCTGGGCTCAGTTCTCAGAGATGGTAGCTTTAAGTCCATCTCTGCCCTGTTATATATCAGTACCACCAGGGCTTTCTCCCTGGAAACTCTTTGTCCTCAATGGTTCTCTGGTGTCCCAGCAATCCAGCCAGCTCACTCCTTATGTTCAGTCCCCTTCCAGGGGGTGGTTAACCAAGCAGTCAATAGACAGTCTGTCTGCCCTTACCAGGGTCTTCAGCCCCATCCCCAAGTCTATTAAATTCAAGCCCTTTGCTCGGGCTTCTAAATGGGTCTTATCCTCTTCTTGGGGCTTAGGTCAATTCCCAAGGGGTAGGACTCAGGCCTGCCCCACTACTCCAGATCCCAACGCATAGACCCTATAAACAGCAGTCACGTATTACTTTCCTTAATAGTTTCTGCTGCTTTATTCTCTGGGCTACTGCCCACCCATTCCCATCAACTTCATCCATTACCCTCCCCATCCCTCTTCAGGGACCCTTCTCACAAGAGTCTCCTCACACAGGAGGTAGAGGGGTTACTGCAGCTAGGTGCGGTGAGGGTTGTTCCTCCAGAGTACAGGAACAAGGGGTTCTATTCCCGCTACTTTTTAATCCTAAAGGCCAAGGGCGGTCTGCGACCTATCCTTGACCTGCAAGACCTGAACCGCTTCCTAGAAAAGCTGAAGTTCTGCATGGTGTCCCTGGTCTCCATCATCCCCTTCCTGGATCCGGGAAAGTGGTACGCCACCCTCGATCAGAAAGATGCATACTTTCACATACTTTCTTCGAGGGACACAGA